CAATTGTTGGTAAGTTTGAATCCACAGACTATAGATCAACTTGTGTCAAGTTTGGAACCACTTTTTGGAGAAATTTTATCTGCCGAGTCCCTTATGACCAAGTTATATGCAGCTTCTCAGAAGGAAACAGAATCCACTTCGACGTGGGCGGTAAGACTACAACACATTGTTTTACAGTTAAAATATCTTATCGGAACCGGCTGCATCACATATTTTAAAACATAGGTTTTGGACAGGTTTGAGTAATAGTGCTGTACGAACATGCACTCGCCATTTATTGGACATGGATATGTCTTTTGAGGCATTGACTTTATCTGTGAGGCAAACCGAGTTAGAGCAAGGCATAATTCGGGGAGCTCCAGCAGTTTCAGCACCAGGTATTTCCGCTGTGACGTTGGCCAGTAGCATACAGCAATTGGAGTTGTTGCGGACTGACATTAAGGGTATATCTAATAGAGTAAATACTTTGGAGACTTCATTTTCAAAACCAAGGTTTTACAATCAACAGCGGTACAGGCCTCAAAATCAATCGCAATCTTTTCCAAATATTGTGACTTGTGCATCATCTAATCTGTTACAACCCCCCACTGCATTATCATCAACTGTACCTATTAATGGGCAGTTCAGGTCTAACACAGCTTTTACGTGTTGGCAGTGTCAGCAACCAGGACATAAGCGAATAAATTGTCCTTTAAACCACCAAGGGCCTTCTCCGGGGGACAGACAGTAGGTCCTAATTTGCAACGTTCGAGTCCCAAGATAAGACTAGATGGTTTAGTGGGTAAGGCAAATGTTACGCGAGTGGACATCGCAGATAAAAGTACTTTTGCTTTGTTGGACACTGGGTCAATGGTGTCAACTGTTGATACTTTTTATTACAATTCGTACCTTTCAGAGTACCCCTTATATCCTCTGGGTGATATTTTAGACATACGCCTGGCAGGTGGTCATAGTTTACTGTACAGTGGTTATATTGAAGTTCCTTTCCACATACCTTTCTCTAGTTTATACATTTCAGCATTATTTCTGGTTATTCCATCTTCGAGAGTTAATAGAGAGGTGCCTATTGTGATTGGAACCAATATTTTGGATAGAATCCCAAGTGAAGATATCCAAGGTCTCGATAGTTCATGGAAATCTGCTATTTCTTTCCTTAACACACAGAAGGGCGAAAGTTTTAAAGTTTTTCCAGTTAAAACCAATAAATCTGTAAGGGTATATCCGAATTCTACTACTTTCATATCATGTTCAGCAAATGTTTCAAGTCCTGTTCCTGGTTGTCATTTTTTCGTTTCCAACGATATTTCGACACCAAGTTCTTTACATGTCTTACCAGGTATTGTTCAAAGTCGTTTTTCATCACAGCCAACCAAACGCTTTAAGGTGAGGGTTCAAAATTCGTCTAACAAAACGGTCACTATCCCAGGGAAATCTGTTTGTTGCAATTTACAGCAAGTTCAGATAGTTGATCCGATTGTTTCTGATGCACACGATTTTGCTGTCAAGTTCAACCTTGAATCTTTAGATAATGCATTTACTGAAGAAGAACGATTCAGATTAAGGGAGCTCCTTTGCAAGTATAAGGATATTTTTGCAGAAACAGATTTAGAGTTGGGAAAAACTGATCTTATTCAGCATGAGATCAACTTAACAGATAATGTTGCTTTTAAGGAACGGCATCGTAGGATACCCCCGTCCATGTATCAGGAGGTGAAGCAACATCTCAAGGACATGTTAGCTGCGGGTGTGATTCGTCCTTCATCTTCGCCATTTTCTTCTGGGGTTGTGTTGGTAAGAAAAAAAGATAACTCTTTACGATTCTGCATAGATTATAGGAAGCTTAATTCTAAAACAATCAAAGATGCTTATTCCCTGCCCCGAATTGAAGAAACATTAGATTCTTTACATAGAGGTAGATTTTTCAGTTGTTTGGATCTGAAAAGTGGGTACTGGCAATGTGAAGTTGCTGAGAAGGACAAGTACAAAACAGCATTTACGACAGGTTCGCTTGGATTTTACGAATTCAACTCGATGCCTTTCGGATTAACGAATGCGCCGGCAACGTTCCAGCGTTTGATGGAGCGTTGTATGGGGGATTTAAATCTCGTAAGTTGTTTAATTTATTTAGATGATGTCATTGTATTTAGTAAAACCTTTTCTGAACACCTCTCACGTTTGGAATCTGTCTTTCAGCGTCTTCGTCAACATAATTTAAAGTTAAAGCCTTCCAAATGTTCTTTTCTGCAATCTTCGATAAAGTATTTGGGACATGTGATTTCAGAAGACGGAGTGCACACAGACCCGGAGAAGATTTCGGCATTGTTAAAATGGCCAGTTCCTCGAAATGTTGATGAGGTAAGAAGTTTTTTAGGTTTCTGTGGATATTTCCGTAGGTTTGTGGATGGATATGCGTCTATTGCACGACCACTAACTTGCCTCCTTTCTGGTGATAATCCGGGGAAACGTAAGCGTGGAAAACGCAAATCTTCTTTAAATTCAGGTGAATTTGTTTGGGGAGCAGAGCAGCAGCAGGCCTTTACTGACCTAATCCAATGTCTTACATCAGCCCCAGTTCTAGGATTTGCTGATTTTTCCCAGCCATTTGAATTGCACACGGATGCATCTTGTTCGGGACTTGGAGCAGTGTTATATCAAACCCAGAATGGCAAGCGCAGAGTGATAGCCTATGCAAGTCGTTCGTTATCTAAATCGGAGCAACACTATCCAGCAAATAAACTAGAATTCTTAGCTCTTAAGTGGGCTGTTACTAAGAAGTTTCATGAATATCTGTATGGGAATAAATTCTTGGTAAAGACAGACAATAACCCGTTGACATATGTTCTTTCTACAGCGAAATTAGACGCCACAGGGCACAGGTGGTTGGCTGAGTTGTCAGCGTACAATTTTTCAATTGAATACCTTCCCGGTGTGAATAATGTCGTCGCTGATACATTATCCAGATCTCCTGTGTGTGTTGATTCAGCAGTGGTTTCAGCTGTAGCAAATTATCATAATATGGATGTTGGTAAAATTGAAACTCTTTGTATGTCAGTTGAGGTTGTCGATTCTTATCTTGCAGCAACTCCAACATCACAAAGTCTATCTTCTTCGTTTATAGAGAGTTCGAAGATTGGCGAATCGCAGCTTGATTATGCCCATATTCGTAATGTCATTGATTTGGTAAAGAGTGGTATTTGTCCAGATAAAAAGTTCTTAAGTTCTTTAGATAAGGAATCGAAAGCCATTCTACGTAATTTTGATTCTCTGGTTATTCAGAATGGAATTTTACATCGTAAAGTTCAATCAGTTGATGGATCTGAACCAGTTTTACAGATGTTAGTCCCAGAACATTTTAGGGATGATGTTTTATTTTATGTTCATGACAGAGTTGGGCATATGGGAAGGGAAAGAACTTTGGGGTTGTTAAAATCTTTTCTGGCCAGGTATGACGAAATCTGTTGAGAACAAAGTTAAATTTTGTGATAGGTGTATACGACGTAAATCCCCGAATCTTCCAGAACGTGCACCTTTAGTTAGTATACAATCGTCTGAGCCATTGGAGCTCGTTTGTATGGACTTCTTGTCTCTTGAAGCCTCTAAGGGTGGCATCGAAAATATATTGGTGATTACTGATCACTTCACTAAATTTGCTGTTGCTGTGCCCACCAAAAACCAATCTGCTAAGACTACAGCCAGAGCATTACTTAACAACTTTATTCTTCCTTATGGCATTCCTTTGCGGTTGCATTCAGATCAAGGAAGAAATTTCGAAGGTTCAATTATCAAGGAGGTTTGTGCTATTCTGAACATTAAAAAATCACGTACCACTCCATATCATCCAATGGGGAATGGTTTAACTGAGCGATTCAACCGCACACTTCTAAATATGTTGGGTACGTTGACTTCAGAACAGAAAGTCAATTGGAAAGACCATGTTTCGTTGCTTCTATATGCATATAATTCGACTCGACATGAAACAACAAATTTCAGTCCCTATTTCTTGATGTTTGGTCGTCATCCTAAATTATTGGTGGACATATTGTTTGGAATTTCATCAGATAATTCAACCATTTCACATACTTTATTTGCACAACGTTTGAAATCAGGTTATCATCAGCTTACAACATTGTACAAAATAATATCAGTCTGGCACAACATAAACAGAAGATGTTATATGATGTAAGTCAACGAGGATCAGCACTAACGGTAGGTGATCTGGTATTGGTAAGGAATGTCAGCATAAGGGGGAAACAGAAATTGGCAGATAAGTGGGAAGATGTTCCCTACACAGTTGTTGATAAACCTGATACTAGTATTCCTGTTTATATTGTCCAAAAACAAGGAACAGATTCACAACGTACATTACATAGAAATCTTTTACTTCCGATTAGCAGTAGTGGTAAACCTATTCCTAAACCCAGATCTTCTTCTACTGTTTCTAATTTTTCCCCTCCAGACTCTCAAGACTTCACACAAACCATAGATGAGACTCCAGCATCTTCAGGTAAGTATAACGACATTTCTTCGGAAAACACGCTTCAGCCTCAACCTTCGTTTCCAGTTCCTAAAAAAAGACTATGTAATAGTGTATATAGTTGGTCTATATATGTTGTATGGTGTATGTTGCTCAGTTGGTGTATGTTGCTCAGTTGGTGTATGTCCTTGTGTTTGTTTATATGTACTGAGTTGTTTTTAATTGAATTTTGTCTTAGTCATTAGTGTTCATTGGTTGTCATTTATGTTCATTTTGTTACCTCAGTGTCACACAGTTGTTCAGTTTGAGTCAAACAGGAAAGATAGGAAATTTAATATTTTATAATAAGGAAACTTCTAGGACTTAGGGTAATTATTTATTTATTTATTTATTCATTACTTTTCCTGTATATAATATTATTACTTGTTTCATTTATTCACCTAATTGTAAATATATTTCAGAGTTTTGTTCACTTGAACGGTTAAAGAGTTTCTACAAACAGAATTATGAAGTTATCAAATGACGTCTGTAAATAAACTTGTATATGTAAAGCTAGTCTATTAATATATCCTCTTCCAAAGAAAGAACCCCGTTACAACTAGAAATCACCAAACAATCAAGACCTCTTAACCCTACCCCCTACAAAAACTTGTTTAAAAAGTGACTAAAGATTAAAGCAATATTACCTTTTTACATTTTTAGATATAAAAATATTTGTCTGATATTACAGAAAAACGTAAAGATAGTTGTGACGTGTGTAGTTGTATTGGAGGAAGTCATTTGGAGGTCGTCAATTGAGAAACCGAGTTTAAAAAAAAAATAAGTCAATATAAACTAATAATGATTTTTGTATGATTTAATGTCAACATGTCGTGGTAGCATTCAGAACTTCGAAACAGCAAAAACTCCACCCAATTTTTCAGAAAGTTTTTAAAGTGAATTGCTTTGATTTGGTTTTGAAAAGATTTTGGCTTCGGGGATTTTAGAAATGATTATAATTTGAGTCATGGTTATCAATTTATGATTTACCATAAATGGTGGTGAGGGAAATTGGCCCTCCTCACCCACTCCCTTTTTTACTTGCTAATATCCTGATAGATTGTTAAGTTACAAATTTACCTACTATATACTATGGTAGGTCAACATATTACAATACATATTATAGAGCGATATAGAAATCCAGGCTACATATCATTGCATTCTTTACAATTCCTCATAATGCGTTCATATCCTGGATAATATTAAAACTGTCCTCAAATATAGACCTACGGTTAATTTTGTGGGGTAAAAAAATGCATATTTCTGAATATGTGATAGACTAGAGATATTCGGGGTGTTATTGGGCTAAAAATACGGTTTACGCAACTAATTGAGGGAAACTTTTCTACAATCCGCAAAGGCGGTTACGCATTACTCAGCAAAATCCACACTTTATTATAGGCGATACGCCTTTATGAGTATAATTACATTCATTGGCCACCATACTTGTAAATATTTTCCTGAATCGATGTAGTCGGGATTAACTGGTGAATTGTCATTACAAGAGAAACAACAATACAGGCATGACAACCCTGACTACTTCTCCGAATCTCGAGATATTTGGCTAATAATTCGAGTGAAAATACGCCTTAAAATGGAATTTTCATGATATATTTTGCCATAGCTCATTGGAAGAATGGCTACTACAGAAGACAACCCTATATTTGTGGTGTCAGAAGGTATATTTTTTTGAGATTTTGGCTATGAAGTCTGACTGTTATTTTGGTCTATATGACCGATATTGATATTACCAGGCTAGCTTAAAGAGGCACTCCACCCAGTTTATGAATTATGATAAATGTATGCTGGAAAATAGGATATCCTGTTATAAACTCATGTAGGTCTTGTAACTGTTGATTTTCAGGATCTTATACTCTGTTAAGAAATTCATGTGTCCTTAATTGTGAGCAGTAGAGTATTTTGAATCGTTTCAGCAATTCTCTTTCTCCAAGAAAAACAGAATAGGATTATCCAGAAGTATATATCCATTGATAGTCCTCAATGACAATGCAGCATAATGAACATTTTAGTGGATCAATTACTGACAATTATAGGCATACCTTTATATATTACACCCAGCTAAGCCTTGATATTGTGGTTTAATTGAATATTTTCCTTTCCCTCTTGATAAGATTAATTTTAGGTACCGGTACCAGCATAATTTCTATCTGAAATTTTAGAAGACAATAATGTTTTTTGTATTTAGGTATCTAACATTCTTGCATACATTTTTAAAGGTGGAAACATGTTTTGATAACAGCCCAGTTATTTGAGTTATGAACATGAGAATATTAATGGTGTCTTGGTTGGTATAATTAGACTGTTGCCACTTTGGCCTTTATAATTTTATCAAATTACACATTGGCATTAGTGTGTCAGATAAAGAATGAATTGGAATCAGGGTGCTCTTTGACAACAGTGATAATGAATTTAATATCTTGCCTTTTGCACCAAATTTCAAATTAAGTAAAATTTTCACTTGCATAATGTATGTTTCAGGTCAATAGAAATCAGGTTTAAGAAATATATATCTGAAACAAACACACACCTTGACTACATACAGAATTTTCTATTAAAGATATCCATTAGTTGAATATTGGCATATGATATGTTTGTGTTCTTTTAAAGATGGGTTCCCTTATTTTCATTTATGAAAATGAAAATGCTAATACTTATATGAATAGAACATAGAGGTGTTCTAACGACTTGGAAAAATACCAGTTTGTCTCATATGTCTATAATTATTTCATAATGAGCTAAAAGTTAAAAGAGAATTACCAGCAGAATTTCAATGAGTGACCGATCAAGAAAGGTCAAAAAGTCTTTTATATCCAGACTGTACATACATGGACATTTTTGATTTGTTAAAACTCCTTATTATAAGCAATAAGAACTAAATGATGTGATTAGGAATACATGATAATTCATTAGAAACACTAAGCAATCAAATAGTTTGCTTAAATTGCCACTAAACAAAATAAGGAAACCCGTCTTTAATACACATTTATTATGATATGGACATTGTTGTTATTCAACTCAAAAAACTATGTCTGCATAACTTTGTTGTGAACACAGTGTAATCTAGCCCAATTTACTCTTTACCAGTATATCAGATTTTTTTAATACAAAGATCGTAAATTTGATGATATTTTGTATTTTATAGATGATACTAATTATATCTTAATGATATTTTGATATCATGTTTTTGTTGAAACTTGGTGTTATGATGATATTTTGATGATTTTTAGGTGATAAAACTAGGTGATATGTAGGTATTTTCATTATTATAGAAGATGAAACTAGGTGATATGTAGGTATTTTCATTATTATAGAAGATGAAACTAGGTGATATGTAGGTATTTTCATTATTATAGAAGATGAAACTAGGTGATATGTAGGTATTTTCATTATTATAGAAGATGAAACTAGGTGATATGTAGGTATTTTCATTATTATAGAAGATGAAACTAGGTGATATGTAGGTATTTTCATTATTATAGAATATGAAACTAGGTGATATGTAGGTATTTTCATTATTATAGAATATGAAACTAGGTGATATGTAGGTATTTTCATTATTATAGAAGATGAAACTAGGTGTGATAATTGATAATATTGTAGATGCATTCAAGATATTTTGATGTCATTATTTGTAAAACTGGATGTTTTGATAAGAAATGTTAGTATTGCAGATGAAACTAGGTGTTATGATAATATGAAATCATAATTGCTGATGAAATAAGTGTTATGATGATATTTTGATGATTTTTAGGTGATGAAACTTTGTGATATGTAGGTATTTTCATTATTATAGAATATGAAACTAGGTGTGATAATTGATAATATTGTAGATGAGATTGATGCTATTTTGATATCATTATTGATGAAACTGGGCTATTTGATAATTGATATTATTATTGCAGATGAAGCTGATGATTATGATGATGTGGTAGTTATAAAGGAAGAGCCAGCAGTTCCAGATGATGATGTCATATTTGTATCAGAAACCAAGGGTGAAAATAAAGGTAATTCATAAACAATTTTCATTGATATATAATAATAGTATAGGTATTTATCACAATATTTCTTGATGTATCATGATTTTTACTAGGGATTACCTGGTACTATCAGAGTTGGAACCTACTGGTGGTACAGGTATTGTTTTTTTCTGTTAATGTCTTCACTTTCCTCCATACAACATTTTGAAAGCCAAAGTCCTTGAATTAAATTAACTTGAATTAATCATACTGATTTTGATTCATCAATATTTAATTAACCATTTATTTTAATATTATTTTTGTAGGTGTGTCATCATCAGTACCTGGTGACAGTGTCACAGATCCAGTGGCTGTGGATTCAGCTTGTGATGGATCTGTCCAAAGAACACCAGTAGTACAACTGCCAACATCACCAGCATCTTGTGAAGCTGATCTGAAAAAGGCATTAGAGGATATGTTTGGAAATGGCTTGGTGCCCAGCATTTCCCCATGCTTAGCCTATTGTTTATATGGTGATCAAGATAATCAAAAAGCAAATGACACTGTGTCTGCCTCAGGTCCCAGTCAAACAGACACTGTTTCTAGTCTTGATAAGAATGCAGATGATTTAAATCAAAGTAATTCTAACAGCAATATATTAGGTCTGGGTGACAATGCAATAAGTCTTTCAGAATCTGGTGCTTCAACAGACCAATCTCACAGTAGTCATAATGCTCCAACTGATTTCAGTGTAGCATCAATATTAAATGGAATCTCAAATGAAAGTCAACAAGTACCAGCAACCTCAAATTCAACAATTCTAGCAACACAGAATAGTGGCAATGTTGTGATGTTACCAGGCAATATGGACAGAACTTTAGTTGTTCCTGTAACCACACCTATTGTCAATCCTGATTGCAAAGGGAACACAGTTGCAGTTGCTGGTAATTCTGGTACTATTTTGGCATCTGATAATTCCAACAATGATGTTCTATTAGTTGCAGACTTACTAATGCAATTTAAATGTCAATATAAGTGTTTAACTAGCTCGGCCAATGATGTTCTAATGAATTCCACAACGCAGACATCGTGTTCAACAAACAATGTCAATAATTTGGACCAGTCCATGTCAAATAATTCAAGAAACCAAAAATTCCCAGTGAATTCTTCAACAGTCCCATCTGACCAGTCAATGAATGTGTGCACATTTCAACCAGGTTTAGGAGCTCAAGCCCAAAATGTGACAATTCTACAAGACCCTTCCCCAAACACCTCTTCCAGTGGCTTACAATCAACTTCAAATACAGACTACGGTGATGATAAACTTTTGTCTTCTCTTATTGATGAAATTTTCTCCCCAGCACAGGATACTCAGTTAAACCCAGTTCTTTCTCGAAGTTCCGATCTTTCTCAAGATAGCCTACCACCTCGGAAACGCTATCGTTATATGGACAATAGTGGGTGTAATTCTAGCTCAGTTCTAATGTCTACAGGAATTGTTGATGCAGAAAAGGACAAAGATATCCCTAAAGTGTTAGCAAATTTTTGTATAAAGTGCTCCAAAGCCAACTTGAAACTTGTAATATACTGTGTTAAAGGTCATAGCTTCTGTGATATTTGCGTTCAAGATCTTGCTAAGAAAATGTTATTGGATAAAACAGTAAGTACAATAGTTGAATTTGATGAATCAATTATAATTTCATGCCATGCTTTTACACATTCCACAAAATGAATCACTAATCCTTGAAACAAATGAGGTTTGAGCGGAAAACGATAATGGATGCTAATACATCATTTCCTCTGAATAAAGTTTATTTAAGCATTTATCCTCAGATTCAGATTATACACAGGGACTGGATGGTATAAGTACACATTCCAATTTTTTGATACTGAATTTTATTTTCTTTCTAATGTTAGTATTTAAAATATGTGTTTTGAGTGTTCAGAAGTATGATTGATTTAAGATTGAATATCGCACACAAGAAGTATCATTCATACAAATAATATAGTGATATCATTTGTTTTGTATTGTAGAAATCAATGCAATGTTTGAAAGAAGAATGTGGAAGTACTTATAGTATAGGTAAGCAGACATTTTGATGTGAACAGGGGCGCATATCGCTTTTTCAATGCGGGGGAGACCAGTGGTGTACGCAGGATTTATTCAAAAGGGGTCGGACCGTAGGTGCGAATTCGATTGCAGAGTATATAGTGGTATGAGAACGTTTCAGTTGAGGTGGTGGTGTTAATTTTCACTCGGGTGATAATTCAAGGAATAAACAATTGAAAACCTTTAATTTACACTCGACCATGAATTGTTCAATTAGTGCGCCACAGACGCAAATTTTCGGCACTTTGATGCCAAATTGTGTCTAATTTAGGTCCATAAATGATACTCTTCTTGTGAACATAATATATATATACCAGGTGTGGTCAGTTTGATAGAGTATTAATATATATATATGTACATGTATATTGAAGATAATTCTAGTCTACACATTCGCATTCTCAATTAATAGTACTCAATTTCAGTTGTTTGAATGCAGGTGAAAATTTATTTTAAATATTATAGGTGAATTAAAGAAAAGTCTACCAGAAATGGTGATAGATATTTTAGAAAAGAGAGAAATAGAGAATATAGGAGAATGGATAGCTAGTTCTGTCAACGATAAAAAACCAACAAGAAATCCTGATCTTCCTGATCATTGGGAACCATTTGATGAAAGATCAGTAAGTTTAAGAGGCATTTTACATTCTATGGTGTAGCTTGATTGATTAAGTTAGAGAAGTTTGGACGTGACTTCTATGCCAGGATTGTACTACTTGACAGGTTAACACATTTGAGGAAGAACAGTAGCACAAGTTATTAGAGCTTTTGGATATTTGGATGTGTGATAGTAGACAGGATCCTTGTGAAATAATTGTTATACATGTTGCTTAGCGTTTGCTGTAGAAAGATAACATTTTAGTTGTTATTAAATGAAAATATTACTCAAAAGCTACCATATTTTAGACCAAAATGTCTGGCTGACATTTTGGAGATACTAAAAATGTCAGTTATCACATTATAGCACATATATCCAAAATAAACAGTCATGAAGCTGATATAGTTTTCAATTTGCCGTCAATATGTTACAGACTTTGAAAGTGGTAGAATTAGATAATGATTCAATAGAGTTTCTGAATGTAGCTATCAAGTTTTTTGATAGTATGGATGGTAAAAGATGTTATATACATAGAATATCTAGAGTACAGAATTTAACACTGTGGAAATACTATGCTTTGTAAGTAAAATTAATATATAGCTGACAGAGTCAATTTTTAAGAGTGAACTCAGATTTTCATTGTGAATAGTAATACAGGTAGTAAAGAGCCAGCAGAACAGTGCCCCAGCAACCATTATGCAATAAGTCTTGTGATCAAAGTAGTAACCATATAATATGAATTTGTTACTTATAACACAACTGTATACAGGGTGTCCAAGAACTGCTTGTTTATTCCCTTTCATAATACAATTTGATGTTTTTTTAAGAAAAAAGATTGAAATGCTGCATGAAAATGATGGTATAGATGTAAATGAAGAGAAATTATTCCATGGAACACAGTCACATTGTGTTGAGGCTATTTCTAGAAAAGGTTTTGATTGGAGAGTATGTGGTAAACATGGAACTCTTTATGGAGAAGGTAAAAATAGATACAGTAACCTAACCTAATATCATGCAAACCTAAATTTGTGCATCTCCGGAAATGATAATTAATTTACATGTGCGACCTCGCATGCCCTCCGCATTTGCTTGTTTTGATAAACATGAGTTATCTCTACAACAACAACCTTCAACATCTTCCTATCGTTTCAAAGCAATGTTAAATTTATTATCTATTTCTTATAACATAATTATACAAAATGGCTGATTTCTGTTATTACTGAATGTCACCATTTTTTATCAGCCAAATTTCCTCATAATCCCCAGCTGTATTTGGAATTCTAAGTGTCATCTGCTATATATTCCAGTGAACAAAATCACCTGACAAACTAGTGGATTCCATCTAACACTTTACACGTAAATGGGTGACACATTTGTTGGTTATGGTTACTCATGAAACAAACCAATTTTAATTATTTTGTAGAATATCTGGGGAAACATTTAAGACATAAAAAAAATATCCTTTTTTTAATTTTGATGATATTCGGTGTTGAAACCATATATGCACGAATATAGGTTACACCACTGTACATATAACTTTCATGTATTTTTAGGAATACAAACTTTCACTTTTACAAGATAAGTTCTCACAGGCCTAGTACTTCAGTCAGATCCATCTGAAGTGAAAAACAAAAACCATCAACAATTGCCTAAGCCACAGGATATGGCAGGATATAGTAAATTAGTTTTGGAAAATTGAGCTCATTTGTATAAATTTATATTGAAGCCGAATGTTTCTGTTAATTAGGGGATATGGTTTGATTATCTGTTATTTTTAACTTAATATAACTTTATAATTCCATTTTGAGACAGATGTCACATTTTTCATCATTTTTTTTTTCATTTTCGTTGTGTAGTGTTACATTTAGATTTCATTGATGATGATAACGATTTGAATGTGTACTTTCAGGTTGTTATTTTGCCAGAAATGCTCGCTACTCACATGACTACACAGACTACCATACTTACAAACAGCAGAAACGAGCCAGTTCCAAACGTCGTATTAGAGTCAATAGTTATTGTAATGGTATCTTGTTAAATAAACCAGGTGCATCATGGAGACCACCCCCAGCTCATAATCAGAGTCCATTTTTCTCTTCACCAAGCTTGAACTCCAACTTAGCTCATCAGAACATCCCTCCACCTGCTCATCAACTCCTCTCAAATCCCAACTGTCCAGCAACAAATTTTCAACAACTCACCAACCCGTATTTACAATACCCTTACTTCAGTACCCTAGTACCAAATCTTACACAAAATACAGTATCCCAGAGTTCATCTCTTTCAACCTTACAAACTACTTTCCACGACCCTCCTCAAAGACCTGTGGCAACTCGAAGCAATTCCACACCCGATTCTTCTGGAAAGAAAGATCCAGAGAACTTGCTCAAGATGTTTTTGTCAAAAGTGTTGGTAGGGAAGTCAACTGGTGGACAAAGAGGATTCCGTAAACCACCGCCGCTGTTTCCAGAAAGTGATGCAATGGGCAGATGTTATGATTCCTGTGTTGACGACATCTTTGATCCTAAAATTTGGGTGATTTTTGACAGTCACCAAAGTTACCCTGAGTATTTAGTTGAGTATACAAGTTCTGAGTTAATGGATTATTCCTGTGTATGATTGAAATATGTTATATTGTTTATGTACATCATCATCACTTGGCTGTTGTAATCACAATTGAACAATGTGGCATCAGGTGTTTTAAATTACTTGTTATGTTTCATGACATCACTTTTGTCATCTTCAGTCATCTTAAAGGTCCCTAGTAGTTATCAGACATTTGACCTTAGAGGTACAAGACTGATATTTACAAATGTTTGATGTTTAGATTATTCTGCCACATAGTTTATAAACATGATAGATTGTTTGTACCACAATTTGTTATTTATGACTTGACACATATAGAATAATAGATAGGCATATTTGAGCAGTACTTTTAATTTGGATTTTAATTTAGATCACATCAATGATCAGTTTGCTATCAGAATAGCTTGATGCAGAATATCTATGGGTGACTCTGGAGAGTTTAAGGAGGAGGTTTGTGTGCTATGATATATTAGATATTTGGAATTTTCAGCAGCAAAAGATTTTTTCTGAACATTTTCACCTTGTTTTTATACTTCAATCAAGTAAGGATAAATTGTTAAGAATTGTTACATGCCTCTAAAAAGAAGTAATAACCATTTTATTTATCAATTGTTTTTTTTTAGATATTTTTATCAAATAGTTTTTTTTTTTTTATCAATCACATTTATAATTTTTGATAAAATATGTTATAACAGTTGATGTTATTGAAATCATCATAATGACAGTTTTGTTGTCGAATTTTAGGTTAAATTTTGTTAGTTACTTATAAATTATGTTTAAGACATGTAAAATTCTATATTTGCCAGTTTTTTTAAGGAATACAAAATAAGATATATAGTTTTGCCAGTAGTAATGAATGGAACAAAATTGTTAGTATCTCTAAAACATGAAGCAAGGGTTTGAAGCAATGGTATTAATGGATTTGTGACAATAATTCCAAGATTCAAATGGACAAAATTTAATAGGAAATACTGGAAATATGAAAAGAAGCTATAAGTTTCACTAATACATACACAAAGAGTAGAAACCTTTTCTGATTCTTTTAAGTTTATTTTGATAGAAAAGGTTTTTGTGTTAACTTTTTAAAATTGTATTATTTCAATTACCAGTTTGTGATTTGTGGAGAGGTTCATGAAAACTTTACATATAATAGCATTGAAATTTTACAGATAATAGGTCACAACAACCTTGATTGAACTCAAATATAGGACTAGATACTGAGTAACAACACAGTTAACTAAACCCTTTAGTCAAAACAGATGCTTCAGATTCTTCAATCAATTTTCCTCTTTTAAGTTATTCTGGAATAGGGTGACTATGAATAGTTTCTTTTTAGAATTCGATGCTGCTTGCTCTTTAACCTTGAAACCTTATAAATTTTCTATCGGGTCAAAATGCTAAATTTAAACTGTGCAGGGACTGACATCCTTATAAAATAAACTCTTTGATGTTTCAAAAACCATATAAAACTATTACCTAGCTTAACCTGCTTCATTTAAAAGATTTTAACTGTTTTAGATTGAATAAAACAGAAATATGGTATTTTTACAGAATGCAAAAATGCAGAATTTTGTTTTATAGATGTGCATGCTTGTATTCAATAGCTTCTGACTGAACATACATCTTATCAAAATATGAGGCTCGCTTTTTTATAAACATATTTATTTATTTGCTTATTTATTTAAGAGCATTTTTTATATTTCATTTTTATCATGGAAGCCCTACTTCTCAGTAATGAGTTATGACATTGTAGAATTCATTGTAATATAAGAATTATGATGTGATGTATCTGATTTGAACTACAATGCCCTTTTTTGCATCATTTATTGTCCATATCTGGATGGTTTCTAAAATGTTTATTTTTAGAATTTATCACATATCTAGTGTTAAATCTTACAAATATCTTATAATATAAGACTGTATATAAGGCTCATGTTATTTATGAGCATCTATATCAAATAAAAACAGTCTACTTAATATTCAGGTTGGAAAAGTGTTGAAGGGACAGGTGTTCCAATTTTGTTACCAATCAAACCTTAGTCTCCAAAAAAGGATTTTTTTTTTTGCTATGTCAATCAGTAACAGTGTTCACTGCCCACCGCTGAAATTTGAGGCTTCAAACCCATGTGTGGAGAATAATTTGCATTTGTCAAGTCGTCTTTTCTTGTATATAGAAAAGACATCTATAGAAATAGGAAAAGAAATTCTTAGTTGGAGATATTTTTAAAGAACTTATGTGGTTTTCGTACATTTCTAGTACTTCTGAAGATTATTTACATATATTCAAGACTCAAATCAACCGCCCAAAATAGCACAACTGTCCCTTTAAGACCTGAGTTTGTTTATATGCATTAGATCTTTTTAATATATTAACTTTCCTAAACATCCATAAATATTGACTGAATAAAGCTGCAACAGTAGAAAATGGAAGAGTGAACACATGTGGAACGGGTTCAAACATGGTGCAGGCACAATTCACTTTTAGTATTATCTACTGCAGATTATCGGACGTTGTCTTTTCTAGCCTTTATTCCGATTGAAATTTGATTAAATGAACTTGGCGACTGTATTAAAGTGCATATTATAATTTCCTTTGAAAAATAACCACTCTTCTTGTATGTAATATGAATTGAGAAATGAATGGGTGGTTTAACAGACACAGTAACCTTTATAGATGTAATGAATGGCTCTCTATTTAAAAAAATCCTTCATTTGTTAGCCAAATACCATGTTTAAGACAATATCTGTTAAATTGTTTGAGAAATATGAATCTGGTTTATATGACTATTGTTTCTATATTATCTATTCTGTCTATATATTATATATATCATCTAGTGTGAATATTGATTAAGATTATATAAACTGGTTAGACATATTCATCCATATTGTGTTATAATTGTCCAAGTCTTTAGGATGTTAACCAATCTTATAGAAATGTTGCATGAAAGCCAATGGAAACATCGACAAGGCACTGTAAACAGGTTTTCTAAAAAAATTTATGTGTATCAGGGACACTGATAACATCAATTTGCAAAAGATCAAAAGGTTTATGGTAGAGCATAGACATTTGTGAACAAAATATACCCACACAATAACTATACATGGCATAACTTAATATTATAGACCTGGATAAGCATCTATACTCACTAATCTGAGCTGATACTCATGAAGAAAACACAAATGAAGATAATTTTTTATTTAATTTGAAGAGAATTGTATGGAATATATAACACTAGCGACTACTTTCAAGAATGAGAATATAGAATTGCACAAATTGAGATATAGTAAAGAATAATGATAACAACTAAATACTTTTGCCCTGCAAAATTGATAAAACATTTGAGCTTAATGTAAACATTTTAAACTTCATTCTGATTCAATCATATATCCAACAATAACCTTACTCTTGTATGTTTCATTTGATCTTAACATCATTAAACATGTTATTAATGCCCAAATGTTTCTTAAATAACAATAGAAAATGAAATTTCAAATAAATATTTCGATGTAATTATATAATTAAAAAGAATTATAAGATAAAATGGGAATGCCTAAATGTAAGTTTGAAACCAGTAAAAAAAGAGTAAATTTAAGCGCCTATAACACAATATTATTATAATTTACTATTTGAATTATGTTGTCAACTTGATAACTTCTTGGTTAAATTCTCAGCAAGTTTGTCAAGAAATTCAAACGTATTCAAATAATCTTTTCTTGTTACACTGAAATAAAAGGCATGACCAGATATAAAGACAATGATTATAGTCAAGCAGAGACTGACTTATAAAATGTTATATCATCTAGTACTCTAGGCACACTTCAAAATTGTCACTGCCATATGGTCTGTATTAGGTTTACATCTAGGAAATTCAGAATGTATACACCTGCTAGCTATAGATACATAGTTTATTTGCATGTTATCATATCTGATGAAATAATTCAGACTGGCTGCACAATAAATATTGTTACGTCACAACTTGGGACTCTAAAGATACACCTGAATTTCCCAAAATGGGCATGCAACATCCAAAGTTTTTATAACTTTGGAATGCTACTTTCCATTGGAAAATTACTTACCTATAATGTTAGGGATAAAAAACTTAAATATAGCAAAAACTTTCAGAAAACCTACCTGTTCATGCCCTTAATACAGATAGCAAGATCTTTAGTCATGTCACCACTTTCAATAGTTTCAATACATACAGCTTCTAAACTGTCAGCAAACTTAGTTAATTCTGGATTATTGTCTAATTTAGCACGATGAGCTAGCCCCCTTGACCATGCAAAAATAGAAGCTAAAAATAGTAAAAATAAAAGTTGTAGCATGTGGTCCAAATACATGCACTAATTGAAAGTAAACAGACAGTTGTAAAATGTAGGAAGAAATCTTTGGAACAATATAATATCAGATATGGCTGCATTTGCGATTCAACGGTAGTAGAATCCTTAATTTACTCTTACAAATATATCATATTTATCAATTTTGTATCTCAACAATTAAAATTTCCATTCTGGATTGGAGAAGACAAGGAAATGAAATGATAAATTCCACCGCATACTTTCAAATGCCAAAAGGAATGAACATTGACTATTTTTTTTTAAAGAGAAGCACAGTGTGTGTTTTAGCTATATGACTTACCAATAGGGTTAGTGGAAGTTTCTTTGCCTTGTTGATGGAATCTGTAATGTCTTGTGACTGTACCATGAGCAGCTTCAGCTTCTACTGTTTTACCATCAGGACATATCAATACACTGGTCATCATACCTAATGATCCGAACCCTGGAAACACAGATATTTTACATATTGAAATGAACTTTGATCACAACATGAGTTCAGTTTTGTTCCTTTATAACAGGCTTGAGATTATTTAAGACTCAAGGTCCCCAGGTAAGATTTGTTTCAACTCTCCTGTCAGTGGTGAAGGTCAACTGGGCTGATATGGTAAATATATCAAGTTATTGATGAGGCTATAAACTAAAGGTTATAAACTGTTTTGCTACATGCTCTGCATATGTCCCTACGGAATTGGAGCAGAAGGACTATAACCTTTCATCTCATTTAGTCATTAATCATATTCATCTACAACTATTCGTTTAAACTGTTCCACTCTGTATCTTAGAAAGAGTCCATTTCAGCAGACATTGTAAATTGAGAATGTATACAATTACCTTGAGCAACTGAATCCGACTGTACATCACCATCATAATTCTTACACGCCCACACAAAACCACCTTCTGATTTCATAGCATAGGCTACCATATCATCAATCAATCGATGTTCATACCAAATACCTTTCTTCTCATATTCACCTTTATATTCTCTAAATTTATATACACATAATAATAATCAGAAAAAATATTCAGCTCCTTCATGCAGCAAGATTCTATTTATCAAGAGCTTATCTTACACTCTTGCAATCATATTTGTGGACCACGGCCAAACATGCCATATGAGAAACTGTTATTACGTGACGATATTGCATTTTCACTATTTGAGATTTAACAATCAGTTTAAATTCAGACTATTCTTTACTGTCAGTTTATAGATCTTACTATTACCTATCATAAATATCTTGAAAAATATCTTTAAATCTACCATCATACTTCTTTAGAATAGTATTTTTAGTACTGAAAAGATCAATGAAGAAATAGAAATATCAAAAATATCAATATCATTTATCACATGAACTCAAATCCATTCCTTAGTAAGTTATCAAAGGTTTTAGTGTTGAAGGTTTGAAAGTATTGAAATTTAATAGCTGAATAAAAAAAAAATTAATGTCCATCCAACCTACCTTAAATATAAAGGCCAGCCTTTCTGTAGAGCAAACTTAAGTGAACTGTGAGCAAAATCTTTAATACTCTACAAAATAAAGACAAATTTTAAGTAGACCTATTTCATTGGATAATAATAACTCCCAGCCTATTCAAGTCCTGTAGTCCTGTTTTTTTTTTTTTGCTTCATTGCATTTAAAAAATAACATGCCTCTTTTCATCATTCTAATTTTCCTTCAGATATCTATGGTTCTTTTTATTACAGAAATACCACAGCAAAAGTTGCTATATGGAGCTAATAAGTGTATTTTGAGATACTGATGTCATGAAGTGTTTAGTATATAGTGGAATTACAGTTGTCTGACTGAAATCTGGATATTTCTGATATGTCAATGGAAGTCTTCGCTATGTTTAGAAGTGTTGTCAATTTGCTAATGTTTGCCAATAAGACTTTTTCTCCATTTCACAAGACCCAATAGACTTACAGCGTCTGTATTGTACATTCCCATGGCAACACCACCAGATTCTTTAAATTCATAAACTGTAAACTTTTGTTTCTCGCCACCATCACTGGGTGTAAAACTCATTTCTAATTTTCCTGGTCCCCCTACTACAAAATCTGTAGCTTTATACTGAAAATATACAATAGGTCAACCAGAGATTTTTTTAAATTAACCAAAATGGAAAATAAATGATTGAACTAATAGAATTATAAGAGGATATTTTTGAAAAGGCTGTACACCTGCTAAATATAAAATGCTTTAAGAATTACAAAAATCTTTTCAAAATCTCACTGAACATTTCAGATGACAAATGAAGCTGTTGCAAACGCCCCTTATTCTCAAGAAACTGTCAAATCAGTGTCTAACCTGATCTCCAAAAGCATGACGACCAATAACAATACTTTTAGTCCAGCCTGGTACTAATCGTGGTATATTTTTACATATAATAGCTTCTCTAAATACTGTTCCACCTAATATATTTCTGATAGTACCATTAGGGGACTTCCACATTTTCTTTAACTTAAATTCTGAAATATAGAAACACAGAACCTGAAACATGTTGTTACTCAGAGTTTCACACTATGCAATGTTTAAACAACTGACCTATTTCTGCCTCTGAAATATATTAATACCATAAAAACACTATTTATCTAGTATCAATTATCATTCAAAAAACATTAAATACTATTGATTTATATCAATTTTAGTTGAAGCCAATCATTATGAAAATGTTTTATTTAGTACAGCATTTCCAATTTAAAAGTTTAGGCAGTTAATATGCTGTAGATAAAAACTGACTTGGAAATTTTTGAGGGTTGCTTTACACTCTTACTTGATGCCAATTATGCTCATTAGGGCACTTACCTTCAACTCTCTTTTCATCTGGTGTTATGGTGGCACATTTAATACCAACATTGTATTTCTTTATGGCATTAGCTGCATCAATAGTTACTACAAAATAATAATGAAATAAGTATATTGAAATCGAACATACAACAAGAAATGTTGTGGAATCCCATAATAAATACATTAACAGTGAACAGAACTGCAAATTTTCTTTCCTAACATTTAACAATGAAATTTGTTTGGGAATCTAAATTTTCCAAGTTTATGCCATGATTTAATTATTTAATATTGAAATGAATTGGTGGAATAAGCTGATCTGCAAAATTGGATTTCTACTGTAAAAAACTGGATATGCCAAACTTTTATCACAAGAAGGAAAATTCATAAGCCTTCGATTTACTTTGGAATATGATTCACAGACACAAGAACTAATTGCGTATGATTACAAATATTACCTTGATCATCTGTAGCATCTCGATGTTCAATACCCAGATCAAACAGATGTAGTTCTAAATCTACAAATGGTAGAATTAATTTTTCCTTTATCAAATCCCAGATGATTCTGAAAAGAAAGACATATACTAGGTTAAGTACAAACTGAGATTGGATGTTCACAATTTATGTTGTTGAAGGAATCAAATCAATATGGAGCAAAGCAAGACTGCAAAACTGACTAGACAGGGTCAAGACATCAATTAGAACTTTAAACTATTTAGTCTGAATCTTTGAAAACCTCAATATACAATAGATGCTACTTTAATGCAATCTTAAAATTGGTTATTGTAATTTTCATTGTTAAAGGAGTAAACTAATTGTACATCACTGAGGAGCATATTAAGAAAAAAATGGTCAGACTACTCATAACCTTACACTAGACATTTAACCTAACACTTTAGACCTAACAATAGCCTTAAACAAGCAACAAAACATGGTCTAGTTAGCGCTTGAGAATAAATTGTATGTAAGGGTAACTATTATTTAAGCTGATGCATATTATAAAGATCATTCTTATATAAGTTTTCCTACACAGAAATCATGTTACAGATTTCTGACAATACAAAATAAATGTCTTTTATAGTGGTGAAGTCAGAAGGGGTAATACATTTTTCCCAAAATGTGTTAGAATGCACTCAAATCAAATCCATTTTTAAAATTTTTTAGGCAAAACCCATGATGCTTCCATATTTGGAATCACAACCTCAACAGTTGTCACCCCCTCATATTTGTACCCTCACTTCCAGAGGGCTAGCATTGCTACTGGTCCTTTCGTATTAAGGATTTGTAACTCACCTAACCTTCAAAAATTAAGGCCCTGCATGAATTTGTTTCATAACACATAGCTGTAGGGTGTGACTTATTAGGATATTTACAATTGACATCAAAATACAATAATAATATATGTATGTTATTGAGATTCCAATATTCCATCCTCTTATTGTAAGAGGCAATGTCTATTGTAAACACACCTTTTCTAAAATCACATCTACAATCAGCAGTCCATGTATGATGCACTCTGTACTTTAGACATACAAATTAAAACTGTGATAGTGAGGATCAAAGTCCATCTTAATCCTGACATACTTCAGGTACAAGTGACATAATTGAAGATATTCAGTAAAAAATCACGAAATATTTAATACTATTTAAACAGATCCTTTTTGCAAATTATAAAGCAAAGAAACTTTGTACAATTTTAATAGCCTGAATCTTTTGTTTTGATTTTACCTATGATTTACATAATATCACAACACTTTAATTGGTGATTATAATGACTCAATGCACAAAATTGCATCAGTGTTTTGTACAAATATTTTTCTATGTACATATCCTAATCTTGAAAACCTCTTCACATTTTCGAGGACCATCAAGTTATCTTTGCTATGAAAAGCACTTAAATTTAACCAGAAGAAACTTTGTGAATATTACAGTGACATAAATTAAGAAAGCTTATATTATATAAACAATATGGCAATATATTTAATATGTGAAATATAACTTGATAGTGACACAGCATAAACATTATCAGGATAGTTTTACTATCAATGGACTTTGACCTCTCTCTTCACACCATGTTCATGGTCTAGCTAGAACAGACAAAAACCACATGGTCTGTTGATCAACTGATAACCAAACTGAGTAAAAATGGTGCAGCTGCAGAAAACTAAAAGGATACTTATAAATCACAAAAATACTTCTCATTATATTATTTTAATAAATGTGTGGATTTGTTGAGACTCTCTTATAAATTTCAACTCTGGTCTATTTAAAAAGCATACATAATTAGCAAGTAATTGGTGCCTCTTATTACCTGACATATGATATATATCACTTAGCTTTTCAAATTCCCACCTTTGTCAAAAAACATTAGCTATCATTGCATTAGAAAAATCCAAAGTTATCATATTGAACTACATGCTCACTTAAACTGGTCTTCCATTCCATCTAAAGCTTTGCACCGAAGAAACAGGTTTGGGCTATTGTCATCCTGGTGTTGAAATTCACATCATGCCCTACAGTACCGTCATTAGGGTTTCTAGTTGTTAACGCTAAATAGAAGACGTTTCACTAAATGCTGCAGTCAATATTTTGACTGTGAGATTTAGGCTATACCTGTTGTTAGTGTAGCCATAGGCTAAACGTAAAATAACAGGGTATTGCTACCAGTTTAAAACAAATTGAGCAATTATTGGATCAGAGAAAAAAAAGTGAGTACAGGGAAAACTTTTGTCTTTGTACTATCAGTTTCTAAATATTCGGAAGGTTATTTCTGAAATGTAACATCTGACAATATCTTCAGAAATAATCAATTCTTCACATTTATTTTTCAGATAATTTTAACATTGAGGCTTCATTTGACATTTTGACAATCTTACCTTGTCATCTCATCTCCTTGCATTTCCACAACGGGACCGCCTGAAAATAGACAAATGTAACATTAGTAGACGTAATAATTGATGACATAAAAGCTTTCATAAAGAATGTGTGAAATTGGGGACTGGCTTACCTTTTATTTTACCCATTTTGAAAACTTGAGAAGCCTGTATGAGAAGTAGTTGTGATGACTCGACTTGTCTTAAATGAAATAAATCAACAAATGTAGCGACCTTCACCTCTTGACCCCAAGTTTGATTGGACAATATTTCCCGCCAGCCATTATTCTTGATCATCCGGACGCTGATTCCACGTTGTACATTTTAGCCTTGCATATCCAGATTATTCGAACAATTACAGGATCTAGAGCCTAGCCTATGTATACATTGTTCACATTCTTAGACAGTACCCAACCCACGGGCATCTATATTTTTTAAGAGAATTGGAGTATCAGCCTCAAATAGAACTTAAGAGTTTCTTTTCGATATAAACTTACAAAATATTATATTCTTACCAACACGTTATATATTCTTATCAACGCAAAGATATTCTAAGACGAACAGTTCTATTTGAGGCTGATCTTCCAATTTTCTTTAAAAATATAGAAAAAATTCAAAAAACGTTTTGCTTTACTCAGACATTAGGGGTACTTTGAAATGTTCAATTCAATTTTTGTATATCTTGCGTATCTTGCAACTTTGTGTCTTTCCTAAATGGTATCCTGTATTATTTTTGTTTATTCTATTTTAGTATTTCTACGATGATATCGCACCTGCAAAAGAATATCCTGATCCAATCAATGCAGATGGTTCCAACAGCACAACCAGGAAACTTCTTATAAGACTGTAATTCTGCAACAGTTGGTCCAACAACAGAGTTTAAATGTTGTAAGTATTCACAAATCTTTTTATATTTTTCATTCAGTACGATACATTTCCAATCAATCAATAATGTAGAAAACCAGTAGCAGTATCACATATTGTGATTTTATCCAGTAAAATTTAATTCAAGATTTATTATCGGCTACAATTTAATTCCAAAGAATTGTAAAAAATCAAATTATATTTCAGATTTGATAGTTTCAGTACAGAATATGTGGAGATTATTCCAGAACCAGTGCCGTTCTAGTGTACAAACTCTGATCATGTAAGCTTTCTGATACATTCATTTTGTGTTCCTTAGACAATAAATGTATAGCTTGGTCGATTCATTTATATTTCTATGCTGAAATGTAAAAATGATATTTTATTGTTTTCTATTGTAAAATGAAATGAAATGAACGGAGTTTTACGACCTACTTTCTGCACCATGTGGACTAATGAAGACGGGCAACGCCATGCAGGGTGCGATGGGGGAAATTTTGTCAGGACAGCGGCATTTGCCTTCCCTTTTTTCGATTTCCAACTGTCGAGGGAATTTTAACGTCCACGCAGCGCACGGGGCCTCGGTTTATTGTCCCATCCGAAAGACTTACACGCATCACTGACAGAGGGAAACCTGATTGAAATATCCGAAAGTATTAGCTTGATGTTTTGTATTGTAAGGATTTAACTTTTGGATTATCAGAGACTTGAAGAAAGCCTGTCTTGAATAACGACCTAAAGAAGGCTATTTGGTTCAGTTAAAAGAATCCATATTCAAGAATTTATCTGACAGAAATATTAGGCGGAGCTGTGCATGCGGTATCAACATATCACCATCCAAATTTTACCTTCATATTCATGTTTGTCCAGATTTATGATTTAATCTCGTTTCAATTTTAAAACGACTCGTCATTTCTTTCTATTTAAAGACGTAGAGAAATAAAAAGTGAAATTCTTAGTTTGAAGTATTGAAGATTTTTGTACATTTCTAGTACTTCTGTAGACTATTTATCTGTATTCGAAACTGAAATCAATCCCTGAAAATGGCGAACCTGTCGAACAAATTCAGTTTGATCAAGTGGTTCCATAGATGTAAACATCATATTATGAATATTATTTTTTCAGGTATAATGTAGAACGTATTTGATAATGAAAACTTTGTTCTTCGTGGACGTAAGTTTTCCTGTTATATTTGTGGTTCTTTCTTTTTTCTAAACCGTTTGGTAAATTATGTTTGTCTATCATTACAGTCGAACGACAAGAGGAAGTTTTAGAGTGTAAAGCGATACAGGTGACTGAAATTGTAGAGTCCAATATTTGTTTTTCGATATTTTATATGTTTTATGAAGTATTTGAATAGTTTATTTTTATTTCATATCCCTTTCTAAACAAAAACTATACTAATTAGTGAATATTTATGAAAATGAATTCAATAAAAAACAAATAACCAACTGAGGCGAAGAGTATCATTTCACAATTTTTGATATAAACACAATCATGTATTTAAATAACTCAAACTTCTGAGAGAAAAGCTAGCCTATACAACAAACATAGACGAGAACGATGGAACGAGTTGGTTTGCTTGCGATCTTAGCTATATGTTTGGTTCTTGCACATTGCAAATACATCGAAGGTAATATTAATTTTAAATTCTTTCAATCAACTGAATTTACCTGCATTTACTTTAGTACCTAGTTCAAAGGGCATATTGTATCATAATCAGCGAAAGAGAAGAAATCCATGTCGACTACTGCACTTTATTGTCGTGAAAATTTTTTTAATGTTTATCCCTGAATCCAGATTTGTATTTGTAAAATAAATTATATTTCTATTTTGCCTTTATCCATTGCTTCACAGGTGAACAGCGACGTGCCTTTTATATACTTTGTATCTAAATTCAATATTAATGCTTTTTTCTGTTTAAAACTTGAAAATTAATAAGCGCGAATGTCAAGTCCAAAAAAAAAAAACTCTTTTACAGTATTTTAGCAAACGCCTTTTTTGTCTTGTAAAAACTCTGTCCAATTCAAGAACAAAGTCTTCTAAAAGAAAATTGAAACTTCATTAGATTCATAAGATATGCTAAGTTTCCAAATTTCGAGTATCTGACCTAATACTTGTGAAATTAGTCAAATTCAAATTTCATTTTTAGAAACCGAATAATTGCGAATATAATACACAGCGTGTATAATGCGCACCCTTCCCTGCATTAACATAATTAAAGTGCTTCGATCAACTTCAAAATTTGAAATTTAGATAGTTCTCTTGCAATCTGTGCATTTTTTTGCAATTTCTCTCCGATCCGGTTTACTTTCTTTCTCACATATCTATATAATGTTAAAAAAATCTTCACACTGGCTGTATCGTTATGCTAATAGAACCTTGAACATTTCACTGAACATCTTAGTCTACTATGCGGATCATTGGGGGAATTGGTATAAATATTATCAGTAGCGTACTTTGAGCCACGGCCCCGGACCTGTGGTTTTTGTCGGGCTGGTCTTATTTTGAAATGAATATTAAGTCTTCTACATGCTCAAAATTCATCTGGTGTCGTCTGAAATCCGTTGGCTCAAGAGGCTTTGGACCTTCGGACCTCATCCCAGAGAGACTCCTTTTATTTTTGACCTTCTCCTCCAGCATTATCTAGATACTGCCCTGAATATGACTTCAAATAGTCGCTGTTGTCAGTACATCGAGTTCGATTGTGTTTTAACTAGGATTGGATATGGAGGTCAACTTTCCAATATCGAACCCCTTGGAAAGCTTGAATCACATTCGCTTTGCAAGCTGTATCAAATATACAGGTACGTTCTTTTATTCCTCTGAATAGTATATACCTTGTACTTTTATATATACATCAGATATACAGAGAAGAGTAGACAAATTAGGGATGTTATTTGTTGAAAGTCAAAAAATACATTTACGAATTCATGACAATTTAGAAATGACAGCTAAATTCAACATTAATGGGTAAGTATTTTGAGATTATTACTATAAGCCTAAAAAACTAATTTTGAGTTTAGTTCAGTTTGTAGAACCTTCTAGCTTTTTTCAACAAAGTTTCAGTTCCTTGGATTCCCCATCTTCATATTGACAAGCTATTACGAACTTCGTACTTATACATTGATTGCAATTGTCAGTCAGGGCTCCCCGTAAACGTCCCGTAAACCCATGATACAGATATGCAATTGAACTTATATTGTGTTTTTCATTTTGCTGTATAGACAATAAACATATATATCACAGTTTATTATAACAGTCTAATTAAAATTAGATCTAACTTCCGTTCGTATTTATTAGTTTCGTTTCGAATTTTTTTATTAGCTATTAGCTTTGTACGTAACCACTACAGTAAGGTCTAACACTGTCCTTCTTGACTTTTCATTCTGATCACCTTTGCTTGACCTCTGTTTTAACCAATCACGTGGCGTGACAAGATAATGTGACGCGAACAATAGGTGCATTCCGAGACGAGCGGACTTGATAAACCAGTCTTATTTGCCTCGGAATGCACCTATGATTGTCCCCCTCCCCACCTTTCAAGCCACTGCCACTGCCCCGTCTTGCCACCAATGAAAAAGTTAAGTTACGCCACTGCTCTTTTGCACTCCACACACAATACTGCGGCCCATATTTGTCATTTTCTTCATCTCTCTTTTTTGATCAATTTATCAGAGCTGAGGAGGAGAAAAGGGTTGTCAAGAGGTGGTATGCTTTATACACCCACGAATCCGTCAATGTATGGTTTAAAGGGGATTATGTTCAAGGGATATTTTATTACTTGGAAGGTAGCAGTCCTGTGAGGGTAGGTATAAAATGTATCTGTATCGCAGGAATTGTTCAGCTGAACTTATCAGTAAATGTCTTCACAGGCTTCCCTTTTTGCTATATATTTCCATGTTACTCCTTCATTTCATATGATGACTACATAAGTAAATTGTGTTGAAACGTTATGTACTATGTTATGAAAGAAGTATGTTATAACATAATATATTGTTGTTTCATGTGGGCGCATAAAAATTACACGATTAGTCTCTTTTTTTAGTTTATTTGTTAATTACCTATAGGTGACAACCCTGCATGAAAATGGAACAATGGAAGTCATGTACATTGGAAGTTTGTTGGACAAAAGATGTGAAATACTCAATTGTCAATATGAATTTATTCAACCGGTTGGTTCCACAATGAGAAAAGAAGTTATAGATGCTGAAGGCTGGGCTCTAATAAGTATCGTCTCTTCACCCAGTCGTAAGTTTTTACAATGAAAATAATGATAAAATAATAATTCTTTCTGCTGTTGTTGATGACAACTCTGATGAGCACGAGTATCAGTCCTCATCTATATAGCGATATTGTGCTTTGGAAATTATTGGGATAGAAAGCTGAATACATCATCCGTACGGTACTTCAGGCTGTTGGTTATCTGTGGCCAAATTCCTACACAATCACAATACAGTACATTGAAATTATAGAGGCTATGAATGTCTGTGCATATGGAAAGGATAGACAACCTCTTTTCACTTCGTTTAATGTATGTATTTTATGTAGTAACAACTGTTTGCAATTTTTTATATTTTTAGTCGGAGGCTATGATGGTGTTTCCGTAAAATTTGATTCTAAATTGATATGTAGTCTGTAAAGTTTAGAACCAATTATTTTGTGTCTTGTGAAGAATAAAGTGTCATGCATCATTGGTGTTAATTACGCTAATGGATAGTCCAAAACGGACAAACTCTTTGATAGTACACTGGCTGTGTACGTTAAGATCCCTCGATGGATGGAAACCGAAAAACATTAGGCTTACGCCAATTTTCTGCCAAAATATCCCTCATTGCACAGTGCGTGGCGTTGTCCGTTTTCATTTGCCAATCAAGTGCGTAGAAATAGGACGTAGAACTCTATTCATGTCATTTATGAGAGTATAATCTTTTATTGGTACTAGTTGATTAAAGTCAAAAGGTAAAAGTTCCCACGGATCTAATAAGCTTAAAGGGACATTACGCTTTTCTGCTTCGAATTTTTTTTTGCACAGATTTGTGAAAACTATAGGCTAAACCGAAAACTATGGAAAGGTATCCCATAACGTATAATTCTAACTAAAAAAATCCAGCGATGTCTCCTACGTTTTCTAAAGATTTCAACTGAATATAACGAGCCATTATAAAGCCAATCACCGAAACTAGGTCAAACTGCTTAATTGTAGGCCTAATCTCAGTTTTTAATTAACCCTTTTAAAACAAAATCAGTTTGATAAAGAAGATACATAGATATAAATCGCATACTTTAGAAATATATTCAGGTATGATTTCCGACGTTTTTGATAATAAAAAGGTTTTACAAAAAGCGGAATACCCCTTTAAATTAGCACAACGTCTTTTTAGCTTGCTTGTATTCAGCTTGTATATACTGAATCTGAATACTGAACATCGCCAATTGAATCACAAATTCTATAACTATATTTTTCATGGCAAAACAAAAAGTAGTTTCATAAATCTATGCTGATTGTTGGCTTGTTTTATTAATTTGAGGACCATGCTATTACAGTTCTATATTTTGAGGTTTAACTGATTTTTCTGAACCATTTCACAAATTACCAACAACTTATGACAAAAAGTATTCATATAAGTTCGTAATAAGATCGTCAATGCAGAAACTTGGGTGAAACAATGGGTGACTTGAATTCGATTTATAAATATTATCTGCTGTTTTTCTGTAACAAATAGCACAAAGTTCAAGAAAAGTTCAAACACATAATAATTGTTAGAAGCATAAAATCTTTCCCATATGTTATTAAGTTTTATTGTTTGGTTTAAGATTACTGTTAAGAACAGCATGATAAGATTAAAGTTATAATCATTTGGTCATGCTGTAGGGTTTATAGAATTTAAATTTTTCACATTTAAAACTTTTACGGGTCCATTATATTGCATAATTTCTTTTCAGACTAAATTATCCATGAATATGCTTTTAATATCATTAGGCTCAATTTCTCTCTTAATTCTGGATTGAGCTAAAGAAAATGGAAGATTTTCTAATACTTCATATTGCATATGTGAGTAACATAGGGAATATATCAATCCAAAAGCATGCTGATAATTCACCTTATTAAACTTTCACCATTGACAAGGGGTAGCCTAACAGGCAAAATTAACTTTCGGAACTCGTTGACCAATTGTACCTTTGTTTCATAAACGGGAATTTTTCAGCTGAGCTAATCAGTAATTTTCGTCTTCAAATCCATGTTCCATGTGTGTGAGTTATCTGTGCTTGAAAGTTAAAAAGACGACTCGTCATTTTAAGATAATCTGTGCTATATAGAAAAAACATTAGAAATAGATAGTAAAATTCCTAGTTTGAAGTATTTTTAAAGGAATTATGCATTTTTCATACATTTCTGGAATTTTGAAGACTATTTACATATATTCAAGGCTCAAATCAGCCCCTATCTCTTTAAGGTATCAAAGGTCTAACATGTCATAACAGTTAAAATTCATTGAAATTTTCGAACATTTTAAGGAAGCTATCCTGAACAGTCAGTTCAGTGAGTTTGCAATACTTTTGATGTTCCAATTGAAAAATACAAAAACTTTGGCTTTACAATTTTTATTGGTACATGCCTATAAACATGATACATGTATGTATAATAGTACATAGTTTATAGCATTATTAATCTCAAGTATTCTAATCTTCTTTTACATAATTAAGGCATGGAAGCACACAAGAGCAGTCACATTCAAACTATTTTAAATAGCATCTGTAAGCTAAGGCTTTTTCTAATAAATTTGCATTATTTAGCATTATCAATGTGACACGTATTAAAGTCACAAAACCACAGTCTCATTGCATCAATTAACTGTGGTTTAAATTGCCATAAATTGTGCATTTTAGCAACAGGTGTCTTCAGCTCTGAAGGGTCACAAGCTATTGAATCAGCCATATAAGTCTCTTGGTAGAAGCAGTCTAACTTTCGCCCTTGTTTATTCAACCTCTTACACAGGGTTAAGAGGAATACTTCAATCAAGCGTCTGGTTTGTCGAATTTTCACCTAATATTGTTTCAATGAATCTCATTGGTTCACAGATTATCTCTAGACTAAAATAAGTGTCAATGTTATTGGTCGGCTGAATGACAAATGCAACAGCCTTTTACCCTTCAGATCAGAGATTGTATTTTATCATTTTATCAAATATTCATCTACATGGTCACAAATAAACTTCATATAAACATTATATTGTAAATATGATTTAATATCAATACCCTCTATTAACAAAGAATTTGTTAATGCCCAAAATATAACATAATAATAATAACAAAATATATTAACAGTTGTAATCAACGAATCAAATATTAACAAAGAGGGGTTAAGTGGGTTAAATATAACAATGGGAAGAAAATGTCAATCTTGGTAGGGAACTTGTTTTGATATATGATATTTACATTACACTAAAGTTACAGAACTGTATGGCTTAAATAAGAAATGAATTAAGCTTGTTTGTTTGAGCAACTAGCAATTTTGACCAAGCAATATCATCATGTAAAATAAAATGTAACACATTTATCAAATTAACATACAAGGACCACCAAACTTTCAACACAAACATTTTCAAGAAACCCATTCTTTTAAAGAAATTTAAAGTTTTGACCATCTTATTTAAGATTAACATGTCCTTTTAACAGATACCATTCAATCAAAATGATCAAAGCCCTCTTTTAAACCCCAATAAAAACTGGTATTGAAATTACTATTGAAATGTGCATATCTTATATATCATACATGGACTAGAAATTAGCAAGACAATCTAATTGCAAAGAGATCAAGACATGGGAAAGACTTCGAAGTAGTCAGAAACCTAAAGCACATCCATAGAAACAACTTAAGTCTAAAGCCAGTCAATAAATTTGCCATTACTTTTCACCAGTCATACTGATAGTTTACTAGCATCATCAATGTTAGATTATATCATCACAGAGATGCCAGAAGTTCACAATTGACTGATGAAAGTTAACATTTTGGACCCATGGATTATCTTAATGTTGTTGATGTCTTTAAGATTTTGCATCAACTGGTGAGCTAGCCTGTCTTGTGAGCAAACGCCTATTCCTCATTCGTTGAACTGGTTCAGAAATATCAGCCTTCTGCTCGAAATATGCCACAACTGGAGGCTCTGTTAACAAGGATGCCACAAGCTGCTCAAATGAAATGGACCAATCTTCATCAGCCTTGCTTCCAATGGATTTCTGATCATTAATTGAAGACTGATGACTTTCTGTCATACTGATTCCACTTTCACCATTTCCACCACTTGCTTCTCCTGTGGATTCACTTGTACTTTTCTCATCAGTTTCTACAGACTCATTTATTACCTTAACTTGAGTATCTTGCTTAGGGTTATCTCCCATTTGTGTTTTGTTGGCATCCAAAATGGAGCCGCTGTCAGGACTAGCTGAAATATCACTTTTACTATCTGGATTGTCAGAGAAAGGTGCATCGGATGAAGAACTTTGAGTATCTATTGAAACAGTTTTCTGCATACGAAACCTTTTTCCTACTTCACCAATTTGTAAAAGAAGTGTGCCAATGGTTGCTATAGAATGGTACAGGTCTTGTTGTTGTGGGCTGTCTAAGAACATGTCATACAGTGTCTTCCATAGCTGTATAAATTGTTTCTGAAAAAAAACAAAAGTATCGAACCATGACTTAAAGCTTAACAATTAGCTAATACTCAAAATTTGGCCAAAGCATGTTGATGTCATCCATGAGCTAAAGTATAAGGATGTCATTCTTGAAAGCTTACCTGATTCATCCTCTCCACATTCTTGTAATCTTCTTTCGTATCAGATTGTAATTTCTCACTTAAAGTTCTCTTTCTTCTTTTCTTATTCACATAAATACCACCTTCTGGAAATACAAAAGTCATAGTCATAATCATTAGAATGGGAAACCTTTAAAACCAAACCTTCAGAACTCATAAAGTATCACTCAGGATGAAAAAAATACCCCCAGAATGACCCTGAAACTTGAAAAAAGTACTAAATGAATGAATCTCATGAAGCTTTTTTGATACAAAAAGAATTGGAAAATTAATATCTATGCACCATTGATAGTAAATAGTGTATTTGGTTCAAATATTTTGTGGTCAAATAAAGAAGTTCCTTGTGATGCTAAGACACATCAACACAGTAACAGTATAGAAAATTTAAATTCCATGAAGATTACCAGAAAAATTTCCCAAGATGTAATTATCAGGACTAGATGATGTACTAGATATATCTAAGACTTACCTAGAACGTAATTATCAGGACTAGATGATATACTAGATATATCTAAAACTTACCTAGAACGTAATTATCAGGACTAGATGATGTACTAGATATATCTAAAACTTACCTAGAACGTAATTATCAGGACTAGATGATGTACTAGATATATCTAAGACTTACCTAGAACGTAATTATCAGGACTAGATGATGTACTAGATATATCTAAGACTTACCTAGAACGTAATTATCAGGACTAAATGATGTACTAGATGTATCTAAGACTTACCTAGAACGTAATTATCAGGACTAGATGATGTACTAGATGTATCTAAGACAGTAGATGATGTTGGACTCAGTTGATCAGCAGCACCAGTAACTAAACCTAATGTAGTGGGTGGCTTTATGTCTTTACCCTCCTCTGAAAAATAGCCATATATATGAACTTCTACAGACTCAGAATAGTCTTGGATTGGTAAAATGTGATCACCACCCTAAACCATGTGCTTAACCCTTTGAACACTATGTGCCAGATAATATACCACGAGCTCAAGAGAAAGTTGAGGCATTATTGTAACAAATATGAGAAAAATTGATCTTCAAAATTGAATTACCTTTTGGAAGATCATCTTTTGGTTTTCCATCTTCTGCTACTGTATCCTGCTCAACACTGGGAAGCTCCAAATCTGGTAAACAAGAAAGCAGATAAATTAGTGTGTTGAAATGGAAAATTAAACCAAACACCAGATGATCTCTTAACAACAATTCCAAACCAGCATAGATGGAAGCACCAGATACTAGATAAAAGACCCAAAAATAACACTGAATATAAAAACCATACCTTCCATCTCTTCTCTCATAGCTTCTAGTTCAGATTCATCAAAGAAATCTGTAGCTTCCACGCCACTTTCAGTTGAATCTAGTAATATAATACCAACACCATTGTAAATAAAACCTCAACCATAAATGATATGATAGAGAAAGATTTGATTAAAATGTACACATTTTGTATTGTTAATAAATCTAGGTTCGGATGTGAAGTTTTAATCAGTATATTTTTTATTTCATGGTTCAACATATCCACAAATTAAGTCCCAACAAACTATGCAAATATAAATAGGAATATACAATAGATAAAGAACAATCCATGAAATCTGACGTTGAAATGCTTGACTTCTCATTCTCTGAAACTAAGGATTGTAAGCAATTTATTTATAGTCCATGTCCTTGTTCAACATTTTCTGAAAGCCTAATAAGAGTTGGAGAAAAGGTAAAATAGCATAAGGACACCATTTCCAAAGAACCAAACCTACCAGTGTTTGGAGATGTAGGTGTGTCAACATCTTCTTCCTCCTCAATGTTATCATTTGATGTTAGAGCAGGTGGTAAGTGAAGTAAATATAGTAATTTAATTCTTTCACTGACACTACCTTTACATATAATACCCAGTATATGTACAAACTCTTTAAAATTAATCATATTATCTTTATTCTCATCTAAATACTGAAATGTAATGAAAGAAAAATGTATTTTTTTGCGAGTTTAGTTATGAGTTAGAGTTATGTCCAACTATCTGAAATTGATGTCAAAACCAAAACATGTGTTAACAGCATAGAATTATTTGTTCTTAATCACTAAAGGGGGGAAATAAGAGGAAAAGAAACGACTTGTTTTCTATTTTTTAACAGAAATACCTAAGATAATATGTAGCATTAGCTTTCTATACAAAAAAAAAATGTTGACCATATTCTTCATAAGGAAGCGTATATACTTGGTAATTTTTCTTTAATGAAGACAGCTACTTTGTACAGAAGAAGCAAATTTGAAAACCTGAAAGCATAATTAAATTCTGAACTCACCCTGAAAGCTCTAATAGCTAAGATACCAGCATGTACACCAGTAGCCCATGGTGCAAGAGATAGAAACATAGTTTTAAACTGGTCAAAATCTACCTTGTATAAATCATAATAAGGTCTAGATGGGTCATATTTATCAGCTGTTTCTGCAGGCTGTTGACTAGTTCTCCAATAACATGATGTTAAATATTCTTCCTGGAATACATTGGACAGAGATTCAGACAATTCATGGATGATATGAACTCATTCGGTTCATTACCCTACTTAGCTAGGCAAGATACATTGGTGTCACTTCCTACATTCTCCTAATGCCACTATGTGCGTTGGTTTCTTCAGAGATTTTACTTAACTCATAATGTTTATTTTGTAAGCTTACACTTGTTTTTTTTATATATCCTATTAGGTCTTAAGTTATTCAACTAGCACAGTTAAAATATGCTTAATTTCTATTATTTCACTCTATCCTTATGCTGTCAGCTTAATTGAAAATGGAAGTTGCAGCCTAACCAATTACTCAACACAGAAATAAACATTGGTAGATATACTCAAAATACATTCAAAACCAAACTATTAATGACAGAATGTAATTGTTTGGAGACAAAAGAATATGAAAGAATACCTTAAAAAGAATATAAAGTTCATCTAATTCTTTGTCTTTAAATAAAGTATCAGAGGCTACACTTCTTATTATATTACGTTTAGTACTATCTTCTATATTCTAACAAGATAAAAAATCATATATAAATGGAGTTTTTATTATGTTGCGTACAGTTTGCTCATATTCCTGGTGTTACTAGTAAACAGCAATGTCAAGTTAAAGATGGGTTCCCTTATTGAAAATGCTAATACTTATATGAGTAGAAAGTAGAGGTGTTCTAATGACTTGCAAAAAGACCAGTTTGTCTCACATGTCCATAATAATGTCCATACAAGCAGAATTACAATGAGTGGCCGATCAAGAAAGGTCAATACTTAACTGTACAACTTGTAATCTATATTGTAATATCAATTTACTTGTACAACTTGTAATCTATATTGTAATCCTTACTTACCTGTACAACACGCAATCTATATTGTAATCCTTACTTACCTGTACAACACGTAATCTATATTGTAATCTCAACTTACCTGTACAACACGCAATCTATATTGTAATCTCAACTTGCCTGTACAATACGTAATCTATATTGTAATCTCAACTTACCTGTACAACACGCAATCTATATTGTAATCTCAGCTTACCTGTACAACACATAATCGATATTGAAATCTTAACTTACCTGTAAAACACGTAATCTATATTGTAATCCTAACTTACCTGTACAACACGTAATCTATATTGAAATCTTAACTTACCTGTAAAACACGTAATCTACATTGTAATCTTAACTTACCTGTACAACACGCAATGTATATTGTAATCCTAACTTACCTGTACAACACACAACCTATATTGTAATCCTAACTTACCTGTACAACACGTAATCTATATTGTAATCTTAACTTACCTGTACAACATGTAATCTATATTTTAATCTCAACTTACCTTTACAACATGTAATCTATACTGTAATCTTAACTTACCTGTACAACACGTAATCTATATTGTAATCTCAACTTACCTGTAAAACACGTAATCTATATTGTAATCTTAACTTACCTGTACAACACGCAATCTATATTGTAATCTCAACTTACCTGTACAACACGTAATCTATATTGTAATCTCAACTTACCTGTACAACACGTAATCTATATTGTAATCTCAACTTACCTGTACAACACGCAATCTATATTGTAATCTCAACTTACCTGTACAACACGTAATCTATATTGTAATCTCAACTTACCTGTACAACATGTAATTGTAACAGTTTGTTATCGAAATGTCAATTCTTTTTTTTTTTTTTTTTTTTCGATTTTTACACACCTTCCTGAGCTTAGACTACAATAGTTGCAGCACCCATTCAACATTCACGAACCTTAGATATAGGCGACGATGTGCATAAATATATTTTGGATCTTTTTTGCAAAACCGGAAGTGCCACAGTTCAATATATGCAAGAATAGATAATCGGCTCTAGAAGTCGTATTTTTCGGTCGATTTTCTTTGGGTTTGCATTTTTGGAATCTACTGTTAAAATCTGAAAGAATAGCAGTTTCAAAATTTCAAAATTCGAAAATTTGTCGCAGACATTTTTTTTGCCAAATTTTGAATTTTTTTCATTTTTTTTGCTTTTTGTCTGATTAATCTGAAAAAAATTGAGCAAAGACAGTTTAAGAATGTAAACAAAATGGTACAGTCAAATTTTCAATTTCACTTCCGGTTTAAACAGGAAAACGATGTTCACTTCCGGTTGAATATCTTCCGGTGTAATTTGTATAGGACAAAAATTTTTATGCGGATAGGTAGACAAAGTTATGACAAAAAAACGAAGAAAAAAAAATCCGGAACAGACGTGAAACTTTGGCCGCCATTTTGATTTTTCTGAAATGATTTGATTTTTATTCAGACATAATGGCTCATCCGATTTAAATGATTTTGGTGTCAAATGAAAGAAGATAAAAAAAAAAACATGACATTAGGAAGCCGTTTTTCGATTCTCAATTTTTCTTTTGCAACATCCGGTTGAATTTTTTCAAAGTTTGAAGGGTCATATCTTGTGATCGTGAACTTTGATGACCTTGACCTTCATAAGGTCAAAGGTCATTGACCTTAGCTATCAGTTAATACTTTGACATCTGACCTCCGACATGTACTTCCGAAAACAGCCAAATTCGCAACTTTGGACTGCTCTAGCACGTGACCTGTTTAACCTAGAGGGTTAATTTTTTCGGATTCTTAATGTGCTTTTCATGCTCTTTCAAATGATTTATAACAATCGTTTTTTAAAGCAAAATTGAAATTCGTGAACTTTTCAAATTTGAGTTTTTTTTTACAATATTTCTGTTTCTTTGAGCTTGGTGTGTATATATCTTATGACCTATTTTATGTAAAACATTGAAACTTGGAACACAACAAGACAATTTGAATATAAATTAACCTATGACAAAAAAGTTGAGGTGGGCGTGGCACATCCGGGTTGAATTACTAATTGTTTACATTTTG